TGGTAGAGTGAAGATGCTTTCTTCTAAATACTGTTTTGCATTCCTGGTATTGTAGGAATCTCTTTCATGCCGACCTCGATTTATAAGTGTTGTGAAAAGGCAGTGACAGAATGGAATGTAGTAATTTGTAGCTATGTACTATTTCATGCGGGATACAAATTAAAAATTGCTGCAACTGTTGGAATCCATTTTTCATCATGTACTGTCTGTATATTTACAACTATAAATATCAAATTTTCAAGGTTAATAAACAGAGTAAACGTGTTTAATTATATATGTTTACATCGTACTTTATTTTATTTACATCACACCTTAAAGCAGAGGTTCCCACCACGAGCTTGTACCCGCGGGTTTACCTATTTCCAGAGTACCCGAGAAGTCAAAAAATGGTGTTACAGTGATTCAAACAATGCCAATAATTCAAATGGGTGAAAGCGTTCCGGAAGATATAATAAAGCGTATAAAATGGGTAAAAGATTTCCAGCCTTTCGTTTGTATATCGATGACATTTTATTTTCATCATTCCGAAATGGCATCTGTGGTTTCTGTAATTCCAGAAAAAAAATTGACCAGATTATAACATCATTAACTTAAATACAAATTTGTTTCATTTACAGGAACCTAAGTTTGACTGACAGTGGTGTATTTCTTAAGTGTAAATGAAACCCTCAAAATGCTCAAAATTCATCTCAGGCCATCTGAAATTCGCTTGCTTCTGCCTCAGGCCTCTCACTTTTGACCCTACCTCTCAGACCTTTTTCAGATACATTCCTGCTGACTGGAACGCGTAAAAAACATCTGGAAACTGGCGAAAAAGCATTTTTGATTCACTGAAAACTTCACGGAAAAAAGAAAAACAAATTAAATTCGACTCTCTTAAATAAATACCTTCATGAATGAATGTTTTCTTGTCTGTCAAAATTACAAAAAGAAGCTAACTGATGAAGTTTTGAGTGATAACAATATAATTTGGGTTGGTCAAACTATTTTCTGGATCCATTGGGCTAGTGGCCAATAAAATAAACAATATTCTTGGCATGTATAGTTTCTTATACTTTTGGTCTATTATTACCTTTCTTTCTTACGATTCCTGCAGCAGAAATAATAGAAATTGTTACAAAATGTTTGTAGTAGGCCACTAGAACAGTGTTTCCCGTGAAAGGCACACACCATAGCGAAGTTGATAGATTTATACCTCAATCTATTTCTGGATTTTGAATTCAACATATTGTAAGAAATGATTACTTACATGCCTACATTCATGAGTCATTAGTATCCCTTGTCCAATAGCAGCAGCTATAATTGCCCCAAGAAATTGTGTCGGTGCCCTATACACTTAAAGGGTAGCAGGTCAATGTTTCGTGATCCTGTGATTTTAAGGTGTCATTCAATAACCAGTTGAAATCTTGTCAACCTGTACGGTGGAAATACAACTTCATCTGAAGATTTATTACTCCCATCTGGAGTACTGATAACCCGCTTGGATACCACATGGTGGTACAAGAGAAGCCTATTTGAAAACAAGTCTGTATATTTGATTGAGGTATTGTCCCGGAACATTACTGTCAAAACCTGAAATTGTGGTTCTTAAGATTGTCGAATGAAAGTTAAGGGGGAATAAAGAAGAACAGTAGGCCTATGAGAAGTTTACAAGATAAGGAACCATTGCCTTCGGGTTTGAGATTAAGGACTTTTTGTATCACTACAAGTTTGTTATATCAAAAATATAGTACGTTAAAATAATGAAAATTGTCTGATTCCTTCTGATTCAAGTTGTATTGTCTCCCCTTATATTATCACACGCTTAGAATGAATTCGCAGTATACGAAATGGGAATTACTAGTAAAATAGTTTAATATCTATAAATCTTATAAAATACTTCAGCTGTTGATAGACATAGCACACTGCCTTGTAATAAATAACACCCAACATACAACTTAACTTTATCTTCACATCAATCTCTACCACAAATTATTTAATTACCTTTACTACCACTAGTAAAATATTTTACATTTGATGTTAACGTAATTCTGGAGGTAGTTGCCAGCTATTAACTCAGATTCGATGGATTATTGCTTTGTTTTCGTAACGATTATTTTTTTTTTCGTCAGCTAGGGAGCTTATTTCTCGGTACCAGAAATAGGTACGACAAAACGGACTTCATGACGTTTTCTAACTCGTGGCTATTCACGTATTAAATGTAAAACGAAAATGTTCTGCGCAACCGGAAGTGAGATAGCAAAAAACCGGAAATGGACTGTAGAGGGCGTATTTATCGTTCGATTTTTCTCGGGTCTCCTTTATTATAATTCTTCGTACAAAGGACATATGATAGCAGTTGAAAATATTCGATTTTCAAAAATTCGTTTGATACTTTTTTTTGTCGAAATTAATCGTAAAATGCTATTTCGGTTGCTTTTTGACGGATCGATTTGAAATTTTTATGACGTAGACCGTCGGTATGTGCAAATAATTCTGCATAGTTAAAAAATGTTCATCACTTCCGGTTTCGATATTAGTACTTCCGGTGGCATCACTTCCGGTGAAATTGAGTTATGTCAGAAATGACATATGCATAAGCTTAGAGTCACTAATACAAAGTGTTACAACTAAAAAAAATTCGTACCGGAAGTAACATATAGGTCGCCATATTGGTTTGCCTCAATATGCAAAACTTGCTATTTTGGAGCTATTTATTATCCGATTTGAACAATTTTGGTGTTAAATGATAGAATTAACGTTTATCTAAAACTTGTTGAGGACAGAATTTTGATTTTCGGTTTTGCCTTTTTTGTACGACCGGATATTTTTTTTCAAAGTTTGAAGGCGTATACCTCATGACCTTGACCTTTGATGACCTTCATATTTACTATGATGATAAATTGTGACCTTGAATATCTGATGACCTTTTGACCTTTGGGGTCAGACAACCATTTTCGATTTTATAGGGGTTTAAAAATTGTCCATTTTGAACCTTTGCAGTGCTGTGTCTCGTAGCCTAATAGTTATATAGCAATAATTCTTTCGAATTCATAATGCTGAGATTCGAGCTTTCCAGTGATATACAACATGTCTATGTAACATGCATATTTAAAAATTACATTCGTTTAACATTGTGGTATCAAATTTAAGTTGGTTAATGAGATGTCAGTATAGATAAAATGCCTGAGTTTGACATGTCCGTTAAAGTACCATTCTCCCCAATTTGTATCAGAAAGTTCGTTAACTCCAGGCACTTTTGGATATTTGCATTTAGAGATGCAGAAAAGTACTTACATCCATGTAATTGCAATAGACCAACTTCGTATGTACCCGAATGTCATAACACGCCCTGCATCAGTACTGTTATTAGTACAGTTCTAGTTTATATTTTATCCGTTATCGATTGGAACAATAGGGTTTGGGAAATACAACTCATAATCACATTTACCTTACTGCCACCCGCTAACGCGAGGATTAGTTTAACGACCAACGTTTCCCGCCAAAACTATGAACACGACGTCATAATATGTCCACGTTATGAATTGAGCTACACCCCCTCTTCCGTATACCGGGATATATTACCTCTTGACTCTATTAAATATCTTTTTGTCAGTGCTCTAAATTAAATCATGGCATGATTACGTTATCTTGTGCAGATGGGCATCCCAAAATAATTTTGATAAAATTAGTTAAAACATCAACTTTCGTAATCTCATGGGTGCAATGTTTAACGATTTAAGAAAACGGTACATGTTTTATGTTTCAGAACAAGCGAAGTCAAAAACTATTTTCATCAAATCAGAAAAATAAATTAGATTTAAAACATTTCAGAAGTAAATTTCCCAGACTATGTTATATATGAGATAACTGTAAATCTGTAAGGTGTGTTTCTATATACCTGTTTATATCCCAGGGGTATTTAATCACAGCCTGAAATCTTTCATCCAAGTTTTTAATATTTCCTCAATTCCTCCTTGCTATCAGGCAGGTTACATATAGGTGTAGCTAGTAATAATATTCAATTATAATCAATTCGTTGTATAGTAATAACATTCAATATTTAATTCAGTGTATATGATAAATTATCAAATGATTGCTCGTTGAAGTGCATGGGATTAGATGGTTTTGCATCATAAGGTTCAAGTGTATATTGGCACTGCTGGTTTGTAAAGTCAAGGTGTTTAGTTGTGTATGATCAATTATGATGATTGTTTGATGAAGTGCATCGAATTAGATGAATTATTTTGCTCAAATAAGCTTTAAATTGATGTTGTCGCTGCCGATATAGCCTACCTGGGTCCTTCATCACCCTTCACCTGGGTTCAAATCAAGGTGTAGCTTGTGGTAATTTGCGTAATATATGTGTGTGTGTGTATTAGTGTATGATAAATTAAAAGGTGACTGCTTGTTATAGTGCTTTGGATTAGATGAATATTTGCTCAAATAAACCTCAAATAGAGGTTTTCATTACTGATGATAATAATATTCATTTTTGTGTATTTGTGTATGATAAATTAAAAGGTGACTGCTTGTTGCAGTGCTTGGGATTGGTATTTTTGCTTAAATAGGCTTTAATTTGATTTGTCACTGCTGATTGATTAAATCAAGGTGTAACGATAGTAATGATATTTGTACAATTTGATTCTGTGTATAATTGTGTATGATAAATTATCAGATGATTGTTTGGTGAAGAAGACGGGATTGGATGTATTTTTTGTAAAATAAGGTTCAAATTGATGATTGTGCTGCTGATATACTTGGGTCAATTTGGTCAATCTAGATACATACAAAACGCAATGTCGTTTTCCAGGTTTCATTGAAATATATTTCCTTTATACAAATGAATAATTTTTGATTTTGTGTTTATTGATTGGATGTATGATAGATCAAGTTATTACTATGGTCTGTATATAGGCCTAAACATTCAAAACTTGAATCATTTAGATTGAATTTGATATAAAAGTTTAATAAGTTCATCTGATTTCAAGAAACGTGTTATTATAGTTCACGCCTTGAAGATGTCAGCATACAACCCAGTATTTCGAGAAAACAAAAATCAAAAAAGTATCAATCAGAGGAATAAAAGGTTTGTATACATTTCTATTGAGTAATGGGAAATCAGTTTTATGTTCTCATATATTATATTGTATTGACATGTCACTTCGAACTGATATACCATGTCGGACTGACATGCCATTTGTAATTGATATGGCATACCAAATGGGTAGGCTACAACAAGTTGCATGATATCGTATCGAAGCCTTTAAAGTTTTATTGTCCTTATCAGATTTAAGTATTATAGAACTGAGTACAGTACATAAATGTCAAATTTAGAAAAAAAATAGCTACAGGCAATTAAAACTGAGTTATATCAACTGTTTCTAATGCAAATAGATTTTAGTATCACGCTGTATCTCCCCAAGGAAATCTCTAAGACGTTAAAATAATGAAATCGAATCCTTTCAAGATATAATTGTTCTGAAACCATTGACCAACTAATTTTACCATTTAAATTACTATGTCACTTAGGGTTATTCAAAATGAGCTCATACATTTAAATTTTTTAAAGGGACAGATGGGCTTTTTTTTTTACCAATCGTACCTTAGTCTCAGAAACGGGATTCTTTTTTTAAGCTTAACCAGTCAGCCATAGTGTTCACAGATTACCGTCCAAATTTGAGCCTTCAAATCAATTTGTGTCCAGAATTAACCACGTTTGAAAGACAGTAGTCTTTTCTTGAGACAATGCCATATATAAAGAAAATACATCTATAGAAAAAGGAAAATTTTTTTTTTAAGGAATTATCTTATCTTAAGCGATTTTCGTACTTTACTAGTACTTCTGATGATTATTTACATAAATTCGATGTTCAAAGCGGAACTTAAAGATATACTACCTCTTAGGAAGATCAATTTTTTTTAACTTGGCCAAAATGAGTCTTTGTTTATCAGTGAACTTACCTAGTATCAAATCTTTATATCCCTTTATAATCCAATGAATCTATAAAACTAATTAATAGTCAATTAAACTTAGTATTTTTGAAAAACGTTTCTAAGCGTGTTTCAAAAATACTTAGATTAATGAAAGTATGGGCCTAGAGATTCTTTAATCATGGCACATGCAACACTTGTTAACCAAGTTTGAGACTTACAGTTTTTATGACCATTCTAGGGGTAGTATCACTAAAAAATATATAATCATCTTACATTTTACTGTATCAGCTAAATTTCAGTTATGTGTGTTACTTTGAAGAATTATGATTCTGGTCTCCTATATAGTACCTTGGTAAATATTTAGATGACCCTATCCTTACGATTGCAAATCTGGCGTGTAAATATTCGATTATATCTGGATAGATCGACGAAAATAGGGAACAATATGCTTCATATTTTACACAGACATATAGAAAGTTACCGGAATATCACGAACCACAGATATTAATCTTTTCGTAACGATAAATGACTATGCGTGTTTACATGAATAGACAGGTTGAAAAAAAAATTCCTGTTCGCACGTATAATAATAACCTTATGTTATTAAGTTGGACAAGGAAGTGATAATAGACGATAAATAATGCCAGTAAGGGAAATTAGATTTAAAAAATAGTTATCAATATGGGTGAAAGATGGATTATTTTCTGTAATCAATATAACTTATAGTAAAGGTTACACAAGCAAAATTTTCTATACTGCTTGAACTAGAAATAGAGCAATTTAAATCATGTTGGGTGGAAAATGGTATTTCAGTCTTGCGAAATCAAATATACAAAAAAACGACACAATAAGATTAGTAACATTTCATCTGGATTACGTGATCTACAGCAAATTGAATATGTTGTCACTAATTTGATTGGTCGAAGATAGTACCGCAAGAACTAGTCCGAAACATCTGCCTCTATTCCAGACTCTAGATATATAAGCCCCTTTTATACTAGGCCGCTATAAAGCGTTCCATTCCCGGTCCGGACGAGGCCGAGAATAAAACAATTTGTGCCCATTTACGTCACAGTAACTCAGTGGTCTGAGAACGCTTTTTCAGTTGTAGTGTAAATGAAAAGCATTCTCGGCACGGTTATCTATGGAACTCTTCTTGAAGAAGCTAAAATTAACCCTTGTAGTCACCGTGATGTAATCGAAGACATCAGGTAATCAACAATTTCTCTGAATAATGACGAAATTCCACGGTAAAAGTCGCTTGTGAGGCATGCTCAGTAAAGATTTCTAGGAACCATACCGTTTACAGAACTGAGAACCGTTCCGAGACCACCTCCCTGAGGTGGGCCAGAATTCGAACGGTTCTCAGAACGCTCGACTCTTTACATTACACGAAATTCATCCCTTCCGTTATGAGAACCGTTCTGAGAAAGGGGTTATATATATATTTTGACAGTTATCGACAGAAAAACAAGGCCGTTTTATGGGGATTTTTTACACCTGCGAAGATGTGTTTTTCCAACATAATATTAAATTACCTTTTCGATGACTGTAAATTAGTCTTGGGCATCACCGTAACTTTCGTTTTGATAGTATCAAAAGTTTAAAGAATGGTATGACAGAACTACAAAAAAATCAATTTTTCCGCATATATCTGGGCTTTGCGGATCCGATTAAAATAAATAGTTTTAAAACCCCACCACCCCGTCAAAGCAGTTTCTTCAGTCTCTATACGCCAGCTATTTCAAAATATCTATCAGATATAGTCCTCTGAAATAGAGGTAGCTGTTTCGGTTTACAGACACCTTTCAGATGTTGATATTGAGCTCCTGTTATAACTCTCAATCTTTTTGTATTTTTTCAGTATGAGTAAGGGCGTGTACATAGCCATAACGCTGGCTGTTTTGGCCTTTGGTGGAAACTGGTACTGGAATAAATTAAATAAAAGAGCTCGGGTTGAACGTGCTTGGCAAGAAATAAGTGGTCCAGACACAATTCAGAAACACCAAGAACATTCCAAGACATTTAATACAGCTCAAGTAATTAAGGTTAGAAAATGACAAAAACTGATCGAGAAATGAACAAGTCATGTATGTTATATTAGATTAGTGTATTATTAAAAGCCGAAATGGCGTCAATTAGAGGTTTAGTGTGCCGCGAGAATTTTATTTGACAGAAGTAAATTGATAGCAAGGAGACAATGAAGCTATTATATTGAACCAGGTCTTATATCTTAAGTATTTTCTGCCCTTAGTAACCTAGATCAATCTAAAATGAGGTTTATTGAACTGTTATTATTCTATAGGCGATCGTTAAATTTTTTTCCTTCACCTCATCGGCCTGTATTTCGCGATTCCTTTTTTCTATGAATTGACCATAATTTGATTTGAAATTTTGTTAAGTCTTTTCTAATCCTCCCAGTTAGGCTCCAAAGGCTCGAACGTTCCTTCTAAGATATATAATTATATAATTGTCTAAGATGAAAGTAGATCGTTCGTGACTTTAAATGCATCATAAAACAACTTTTACGTTGAAAAAAATAAATTTGGCATTCAAAAGGAATCATTTTTTTAATAGAGCTCTAAAGATTTAATAAGAAGCCTTTACGATTCTTAAATGAAGTCTTTGAGTTGATATCTCTTTCTCTCTAAAAATCAAACTTTTAAAAAGGGCTAGTGCATAAAGGTTATTTAGGAAGTAGGAGAATGACATTATGATTGAAATTTGTCTGGTTAACTTCCTGTTCTTGCTAAATTATCTAATGAAATGAAATGTAGTTATTGATTGTACTTTTTTGAACCTAATAGGGCCTATGAAGACGGACAATATCATACAGTGTGGGAGAAATTTTACCGGGGCAGCGGCATTAGTCTATTTTCGATATGTAATTTCGAATGCGCATAGCCTCGAGCATAATTAGAATACTTTTGTCAGCTCCCCAGTGTAGTATCACTGGAAATCCAGAAAGTACCAAACTTTGCCGGGATTAATCCTTCATCTCTACTGGCTTAATGTTTAAATCACTGGAGCTTGCTTATGTCGCACCTTGTTGTGGTATTCTTGTGATCCATTTCCAGTTGAGAGGAAGTTAACGTTGTGATAACCACCCAAAAGCCTGTTAAAGTAGTAATCAACACGATGTAAATTCATCAAAAAGTAGATGTGTTTATTTTTGGAATCGGATGAACCCCGATAAACAAAAATATTTGCTCGACAATACTAGCCTATTTATAGAACAAGGAACCGATGAAAATTGTCCCGATATCAAATTTACAACACGTAAATACATCAATATATTATCTGCCAGGTTAATATAATTCCATCATGCAACCGACAGCCTCAATCTGTTTATCTGATATACTGATATTATATGCTGTAAGACAATTACTCTATAATAATCTATTACTTCTCATGAGCAACCAGTCACTATAGATCTAATCAGCCGTCGTTAATATGTTAAACTTGATACGGAATATTACAATAGGGAATTACTCTGGTTCAAAACACTTTCCTAACACGAACATAACATCTTGATATTACTAAACATATCCAGATTGAGCTTTCCATATGATGATAAAGCACTGCCCAGGTAATTAAGAAAAGTATTTTGTTACAGCAATAAGATAACCCGAAGCAATTTAATTTCTGATAGATTAGGCTGCATTTAATATTTGATAAAAACTAACTCTTAAACGGATTTAAAAGAGCATCTATTGTCTATAAATGTCATCCAAATAGTTTTTTTAACAATGGCAGAAAGGCTCGTCCAGATTATAACGTTGCTTTCGCAATATTTGACATGAATAGACGCTACAAACTTAATCTTCCCGACATATCAGCAAAAGAGACAACAAATACCGAATCCCTTGAAAATGAGACCAAAAGTGACAAATTCCGTGTTGGACGATTTTTAAGGCGTCGCACAATCTATATCTGTGATTGCGAAGCCTTCCTCATGATGAAATTTGATCGTGATGCCGTTGTATCTATTGTAGGTTACACCAAAGATTTATTGTGCTATAGGATATGCTCTGGCCAACTCTATTATGATAGTTGGTACAGATGGTGTTGTCATTGTTGATGTAACAGAAAGTGTCACTTCTGGTAAAGAAGTACTTAAAGCTTTCAAGAAAATAACCAAGAAACCTATAAAGGCAATCATATACACGCATAATCATGCTGATCATACATTCGGAGCATCGGTAAGTTTAAAAATAACCTTTCTAGTCTTATAACTCAATCAGAATGTGTTCACTCAACCTTCTGGAATAAAAAATGACACTTTGCTTCTGTCAACTCAGCATTCATTTCAGTCAGACTGTTGATGTATTGGAAACCAAGTCCACATTTAACCTTTTAGAAGTGTTTCGTGTTCTTCGTCTTATACTCCCCCAGATTTCATACTAATACCAACACACAAGTGAACTGTTAGAACAACAGAATTGAATGTTGCGAAATATTCAACAAAAAAGCAAAGATATCATATATAGTATTAATTTTCTTCTATTGAGAACGCGGACCTCTGAGAAAACAATCAAACCGATGAGAGTAATTTACACAAAACGTCTACCCTGTACATCATAGTAGAATATTGAAATCCGAAATTTAGTACGGTATCGTATGCTTCAGATTATTCTATATTGTCTCTTACCCAGGGAGTAATTTTTGGGGGCAGTAAGGCGCTTTGTATCCTAGCATAATATTACATTACAATTTAAGTCGTTTTATTGAGTCAAGCTATATTCTCAGACATGAAAAAGATCGCAGGGAAAACCTACGAAAATTCATGTAATAGTAAGGCTTTATTGGAGGCAAGGGGGCAATGCAAGGGTAAGGGATAATAGGAAGAAAACGGTTGAAAATCTCTGGTCTTTTACAATGGCAATTTAAAATCTCTTTATGGCGGACTGATCTAAATGACATAAAACAATTTGATTGAAACAAGAAAAATGATCAGATTAGGAATATGTATATTAATTACTTTCGGACCCTAATCTAATTAATGTTACATTATTCATAGAACATTCGTTAAGACTGAATTTAGATAAAGACACTTAATAGCCGTCTAAGATCTGTTAAAGGTTATCTAATAACGGATTATGGAAGGCAAATCATTAAATACACGGATAAATGCAATTGTTGTTGATAGAGTACCGCCAGAAAAAAACCTTCTACAAAGGAAGTATCAAGCATTCAAGTTATCACTTATTCTATCCTATAGTCCTGGATGATATGTGAATGGAAATTTTGGTGATTAAACGTCTTAATTGTATCCTCAAACACAATTTTCATTATCCAGACCTAAATCTTCATATCAATATATATCAATTTATCCAATAATTTAACACCATTTCCAAAATTTCATTCATTTTTTACAGGCTTTTATTGAAGATCCCAAGAAAATGCCAGAGATATGGGCACATAACGACATAATCAGACAATTTCAACGAGTATTTTATACGCACCAGGCGTTTATGAAAAGAGCTATGAGACAGTTTGGAGCCCTTCTTACTAATACAATTAATGCTGGAATTGGTTCCCACCTACGTCTCAATAGCCATGATTCAAGTATTGGAATCGTCTATCCTAACAAATTATTTATGGGTAAAGAAAGAGACATTATGGTGGCAGGTTAGTAGTAGTAGAAGTAAACCACTTATTTTCAATCTCGTATTGAAATTTCAAAGATATTTTTTTCCAGTCTTTCTACTTTAGAGCGGTACACACTAAATGGTTTTTGTTGCAGTGCTGTCATAATGATCGAAGTTTTTCTTAATAATAACTATAATAGCTTTATAGAAATAAAGCTCCTTGAATTACAGTAACCACGCTAAAAACGTCACACAGAAAATTGAAAGGGTTCCATTAAGATGTAAGTAGGTGTAAGTACTCATATACGACTAGAAACCCCCTTTTGAATTATTTTTATCTCGAGCTTTCTCTCGATGGTTTTTCAACTTTTTATTCAAAAGCCCCGATCGAGTTCGAGCACTTTCTAATGACGAGAAACGGAGTTATAGCCCATGCTTTGTTTTGCTACATATACGTCGTAAAATAAATGAATGGAGTTTTACGTCCTTCTATCGCCGAGGAGATAGGTTTAAGTTGGTATGGTTTATGAAGCAAAATTGCTTTGGCAGTTAAGCTAATATAAAATCCAATACTAATAGATACGAAAAACGAACTAATTGCAATGTTTTTTTTTTGAGCCCGTTCATGTCAGACGACTAAAGCTTGCTATTACCGATACTAAGCTCTGTCTGGATATTTTTGTGTTCTCCAATTAAATAATTAACCAAAGCACCAATCTGGGGTGAATGCTGTAAGTAGTTGGTTAATCTGTTTTTAGCTATTAAAGTATTTAATATGGACCTATTAGATATTAATTTTTTCGACCCAGCTGGCAAAACATAAGACCGTTAACTGAAAGATTGACTAAAGTAAATAAACTGGCTATAAAATCTACACAACAGAATGGAAGACATTGAATAAATAAATTGCTAATAATAAAAGCGCGGACCATAGAGAGAGCATCCATATTCAGTTCAATATTAAAGTCGTCTACTTAAAAGGATGATGTTCAGTTTTCTGCTCATTTTACAATCGAAATAAGTAAGATGGATTACAGTTCCTCAGACGTGCAGACATTTGTGCAAGATTTTATTAACGATGTGATATTGAAATGTCCAAACGAATTAAAAGATTTAATCTAATCCTCGTAAGATATTTAGAAGTATCACTGCACATGAAGAACAACAATTTTTATGGATATAGACTTCTGATTATTTCTTTAAACACATGCAGTTAACGTTCTCAGGTGATGAATTGTTGGTCTGAAGATTTTATCTAATCTAAAGTGACCTCTAAGAAAAGTTAAGATAGTCACACCCGCACAGTATATTCTTGAGGCGGATAATAATTAGCAACCAATACGTTCCCCTTTCTTTTTTTTTCAAATCAACGAATCGCCTGTACAGTCTTTACGTAACCATCGTACGCACATTTTACCAAAGTATATATTACAGAATGTATGTTGTATTTAAGTTTAAGTAAGTTTGGAAATGCAATTTCTTTTTGCGTTTTTTCACAAAATAAATAATAGGCGCGATAGTTGTACATTCAATCAATACAAGAAAAGAAATCCAGGTTCAAAAATTAAATGAAAAAAGAAAATTAATGATCTAATAAGAATCTATAGTTGATTTATGTTCAAACTACGAAACTTGACAGGCCTACATTAAGCGATTAAGTTATTAAAGATAGCTTGCCAGGTAAGGAAACATACGCCCACTGGCAGCTGTCAGAAATGATAATTGAGTCTTAAGAGTAGCCAAAATATGAATTTTCTCGTTTCAAAGATCTTCATAATGTATCTGTAGTGTGAATTTATTCATATATATATATTTACTGTCAGTTATTTATGCTTAGTTTTTCACAATATTTTCAAAATCAATATTAATAACCCCAAATACATCAAATTAAATTATCAAATCACTCTGCTCTGGTGTCTTAAATCTTTTAAGATATTTTATCAGTCAAGGACAACTGTTTATCTAAATAATCCGACCATCTTCATAATGACATTGACAAACAAAATCAAAATCATCTGTAAATAATTGTAGCCTGTAGAGTGAGCACGAACCAAAAGTGAACGGATGGACGGACCGACAGGGTGATTACAATATACGCCCATCTTACGTGTGGGCGTATAACAAAATATAATACTATTGCCATACATGGGTATAAAGGTCAATTTAGTAGGGGGAGACGAAAGAGAAGTGAATTTTATTACGCTAATACAAGTTGCTTTTTAATTGACCAGACTAATCTCGTAATCTGAGTCTCCGGTGTAGTTTAGTCCACATTATGTTATCTTTACTGAGCCGTTTCAGTAGCTGTTTTTTTTTTTTATCTTTGTAGGTCTGAAATTAAAATTGGTTCACATCCCTGGAGAGACAGCTGATCAAATCGGAGTGTGGGTCGAGGACCAAAAAACCTTTTTATGTGCAGACGATATATACAAAGCCTTCCCAAACCTATATGCTATTCGTGGTACCCCAGCAAGGGATCTGTTGGATTGGACCTCATCAATTGACACGATGATAGCTTTGGAACCAGAGCATCTTGTACCTAGTCATACCAGACCTATGAAAGGTGGTAAATACATTAAAGACTTATTAACGACGTATAGAGACGCTATCCAGTTCATACATGATCAAACAATTCGCTTAACCAACAAAGGTTATCATCCGGACGAGATAGCAACATTAATCAAGCTTCCTAAAAAGATGGCATCGTTATCGTACCTTCAGCAATTCTACGGTACCGTGGAATGGTCAGCAAAGGGTGTTTATAACACGTATATGGGTTGGTTTAGTGGTGATGCTACCGAATTGTTTCCCTTGACACCTGATGAGGAAGCTACCCGTATGGCCAAATTGGTAGGTGGCGCCAATGTCTTAGCTGCTCAAGCTAAAGATGCCTCTAAAAAGGGAGATCACCAATGGGCCTTGCAGTTAAGCTCGTACGCTTTGAGAGTAGATCCGGATGATGTTCTTGCTAAAGATGTCAAAGTGAAATCGTTGATGTCTCTTGGAAGACGTCAGATTAGTGCCAATGGGAGGAATTATTACTTTACCAGCGCAATGGAGGAATTAGGGGAGGTCAACAATGAAGTTGGTGATGAACAACGAGCAATGTTTATACAAAACGTTCCCATTCTAAATCTATTCAACATGTTACGAGTAAAATTTATTCCCGAATCTTGTGATCATTTGTATTTAACTGTTTTATTTGTATTCAAAGACACCAATCAATTTATACGAGTACAAGTGAGAAATGCTATAGTATTGATACACGATAAACCGTCTAAAACTTACGATATAAAGGTACAAACAACAGAGAGTATATGGAGGCAGGTTTTAAGTAGTAGATTTTCAGCATTATCATCAATGGCTAGTGGAGAGCTGTCCGTTGAAGGTGGAATGTTAAAATTTAAAGAATTTATGGGCTGTTTTGAAGCTAGCTAAATCATTATTTTAAATCACCTTTTCATATACATGTATATATTACATTTATATTTTAGTTGCCTACTTTCGAAACAGTGATCTTTATGCAAAATTATTCCTTTGGCTGTACTGGAGTACAAAAGCCCAAAAATTCAAGTTAAGTTTTTAATTCGTCGAAAAAAATAAAAGCCGGGAAAGCAATCTATTTGGCGGGGTGGAATCATATAACTGACATTTCTTTTCTTCAATACGTCAGCATATTGGAAAGGTTATAAGGTTTTTTATTGTATTCTGATGTCTTCTCAAATGGTTAGCTTTGATTTATTCTTGATTTAATACTGGCAACTTCCTGGTTGCATTATAATAGATATTTCAGGAACCGTTTGTTTCACAATCCTGTATAAACTATTCGCTAACACGACTTATTGTGTGCCAAGTGTGCAGCTAAATATCCGACCTTACAAATGTCACTGCTTTCAGCACTTTCATTTAAGTGAAATGAAATAATTTGTGTGGTTATACGTAGGCTACTATTTTATGCTCGAGTTTATATTAAGGAAGAGATGTATGAAATGAGGAAATTTAGAAAGGAAAGGCGGTATCTTAAACTATTTTTCGCTGTCCGACTGGTGTTGGATCGTTCACATGTATATGGAGCATAGGTTTATTGTTACATTCGAACCACTAGTTGGATTTCCCATATTAGCTTTCTCTGAACTCTTTGTGGTCATTTAGGGCCAGTTTTTCAAAAACTTTATAAATATAAAATCAAGACTATTGTAAATTGTTGACCAATAAGATTACTCAAACTGAAAGACTATCTTATGTTTTCGTAAAAATCACTCATATCTATTCAAGTAGTCTTATGTTTTCTAAATATTTTGTCACTTTTTTCATTAACTTTATAATTGTTTGATTTCGATGTAAATGATTCTATATATTTGTAATTCTAAAGTTTTATAAAGTTTATTTTCCAAATCTACAACTCGATCTATGGCTTCTTTTTAGCACTAAGATGGATATTTAGGGTTAGATGGCAGATAACAACTCACTAGTAATAATATTTGTTAAGACAAAGAAGATTATCCTTTTATTATCAGATTAATATGTAGCTCAAAAAGCTATCCCTACAAAATAATGTAAATCTGACGTCGGGTTTGCAGCTTGCAATTTTGAAAAAAAAAATGGACGGATAAATCATAGAAAACCATGGCAAGAACGAAAAATTGTAATTTTTAAAGCAAAAGTCAGATATTTTTTACACACGATTCTAATCGACTCGGCCAAATTTCCACAACATAACACGATCGGGGTTGTCAGTCTCGGAGTTCGGTGTGATAGTAGCCTAAGCCTACCAGTACAAAGAATCGTAAAATCAGTGGCTTATTGGCATGGGGACAGGTTTTAACCAACCCCACGGGCTCCCACCAAAATAATATACCAAAGTATACAGTTATAATAGCAAACGGCAATATTTAAATGAGTGAAATGACATTATCTTAAAAATAAAAGGCATTAAATTGACTTACAGAGTGGTCCCAGAATACGGGAGAGGAAAAAAAAAGAATTTCCTAAGGTGGAGCTCCTACTCAAATAGTTGAACTATTGCGTAAATAATCATCAGGTGATTGGTAAAGTATTTGTTGAGTCACTGAAACTAATGACCTGAATGAACGAAGACGAATTCATACCATTTAAAGATCACCCGAAAGAAGTTCTGTGGGAATGGTTTGGGGTCATTAGTAGAATTGTGTTATAAGGATTCACTCTGTTGGAACTACATTTAATTCGGTTGAAAAGATAACCTCAAACACCAATCAGTAAATACAGTACCGAATGAATTTTTATCAAACTTTTTATTTCTAAATGTTCCGAAGACCTAGGAAGTAGAAAAGATGAAAATAATCATCAACTGTAGCCAAATTATAGCCAAAATGAAAACTTGACCATTACCAAATCGTACAATAAGAACCTTTTCTGGTAATATTTCTTGAAATTAAAAAACAAGGAAAAGATGTTTTACCCCCTTAAAAATTTTGACCATTTTTTTTTTAGTTTTATTCTCGAAGTCCATGAAAACAGCCATTTCACCAAAACTATAATCGGTAGTGGTATTAATTTGCGTACGATGAAGTATCAAAGCTGAAACTATTGATCTCATAATTATAAAACATTAGCCATCTTTTCACCAAATTACACTTTGAAATACCAGCCTTTTTAAAATTCCTCGTCAAAAATTATAACACCGAAAGTAATAACAGTATATTCAACTCTTCAATGCGGTAATCGAACTATTTTCACCCATTAACACCATTTTCAGCATAAATTGTCCGAAATCATTTGGTCTTAAATACACAAGAATGATCTAGGTGGAGTTAAAATCTAAGATTTGACAAGTATATGTTATTGACTAAACTGATATTTTGAATGAACAAATTTAGAACTCGGATCTCCGGAATACTGTAAATCATAAATACAGTCTCAAAGAAAAGGATAACCACAAATTTTATCGGGGAAGTGGTCGTAATTTGCTGGCAACCTCTAGTTATAAATATTAAAGGGATTGTAAAGAGGTTTTTAAAACCCCTCCGTGGTTCCTGCAATTGCACACAAAAATAAGTGTTTCATGACATCATCAATTCAGACTAATGTGATATAGCATTTTTTGCGATTAGTGACTTCATCAAGAACCACAGATGTCTGTTTGAAAATTGGAGATATCAGTGTCCCCGATACACGTGATATATTTAGAAAACCTCTTTACAATCCCTAATACAATAAGGTACATCTGTTATCACCTTTTGATAATGGAAACATGGTTAAGTCAGACATGAATATCAATGACCCAGACTGGTTTTAAATACTACAATAAATAATTGATGAACAATCCGATTTCTGAACATAAATCATATGTATTCTATGGAATAGATTGACATGTTCGTTAACCTGCCAGGTTTACTTTTGTTCAAACTGTCAAGAGCTATCTGACCACTCTTGAAGTCGATGGTTCTGGTTAGGTTGAGACTGGACTTCCCTTTGTCAGTGGTGCAGGTCGGACATGCTCAATTGGTGGGGCTTCATGAAGGGTACAGTATCCAAGGAAGTAAGCGTATTGGAACCACGACCAAACTGTCTCTAGTGTACATTGCAAATCGTGACTTACCTGGTACTCTCTAATCCAAATACGATAAAAGAAAATAGCTTGCCAGGCAAGGTAACATACGCCCACTACCAGCTGTCAGAAATGATACCAATGTCTGTAGTGGTTTAATATGTGAAACTAATCATCCAATTGTTACTAATTTCAAGCTTTACTGAGATCTCATGCCAAGTTTCATAAAAAAAACGAATAAAAAATGTAGTCTCTATCAGACCTGCAAGCCAACTTAGACGCAATGAATTATTTCAATTGCCATAACTCCAAAACCATTCATCCAATTTTTTCCATTTTTGAACTTGAGATCTCATCAATATATACATGCATACCAAGTTTCATTGAGATCAGATAAAAACTGCACTCAGTATCATGGCTACAAGCATAATTTGAAGCGTTTTTACTAAGTCAAGGGCAATAACTCTAAAACCATTCATCCGATTATGACCAAATTCAAAATTGACAGAGACCTTATCAATATATACATGCATACCAAGTTTCATCAAGATCAGATAAAATTACAGTCTTAATCATGCATACAAGACAAAATTAACGCATTTATACTCAGTCAAGGGCCATAACTCTGAAACCGTTCATCCAATTAAATCCAATTTCGAACTTGACCAAGATCTCAACAATATATACATGCATACCAAGTTTCATCAAGATCAGATAAAATTACAGCCTTTATTATGCATGCAAGCCAAATTTAACGCTTTTTTACTAAGTCAATGGCAATAACTCTGAAACCGTTTATCCGATTATTACCAATTTCGAACTTGACCGACATCTTATCAATATATACATGCATACCAAGTTTCATCAAGATCAGATAAAAACTGTAGCCTCTATCGTGCATACAAGAAATCCGGACGGACGGACAGGGGCGACGGCAATATACGTCCACATTTCCATGTGGGCGTATAAAAAGGCATAAATAAGTACAGGCACGATTAGGTGAAATGGTATTGAAGCGGTTAACCGATTTTATAAAATATGCCTTCTCTGAGATTCTCGTAAGAACTTAACAAAACCTTGTACTAATGATGTACTTAAAGCGAAACCGTTACAAAATTGTGCACTTATGATGTATTTAAAACGAACTGCCTTAGAGGTTACAGTCTGGCAAGCTTTTGACTAATCAGATCTGTGAAATGGCTAATCAGATCTGTGAAATGGCTAATCAGATTTGTCAAATGGAATACCGATCACGTAATTTTTCTTTTAAAAATGTGATGTTACACACTTTAACAATTACATTATCGGCAAAAAATAATCCCAACTATCAGAAATAAGTGTCATTCGATATACACATTTGGAACCGCTCCTGAGATGTTCACAAAGGGCACATATCAATTATATCGCCCAGACATGCAGACTCTGAATATCCTTGACGTGAAAAGTCAAGTTGTAAATGTCAAATTTAGAGCACTTTTCTCCATGGAACAAAGTTTGTTTAAGTGGCTTATAAAATTTATTCCATTCCAGAAAATGATCAAAATTGAGGAATGCGAATTCTAGAAAGCTATATCTTTATTAATAAGTTGAAAATTAATTAAATCTAATTGTTGGAAAATAAACAACAAACAATGCAAACTCGTATTCCCCCAGACATTGATAAATAATGAATGAAACATAGTTTTATTTAACTCTGTACATTTTTTAATTGGAAATAAAAATAGATGAAATACGTTATTTTGATGTTTAAATTTAATCTAACAATTTCTTTCTTTTGTTGAAATTTGTTTACAATTCTAAATAAGAAGTATGCACTTAAAACCTGAAGAGGTTTTAAACTCTAAAGATAATTCAATTTTCCAGATTAAAATGTCTGACATGCCTTTTTTGCACCGATTTTTCCTTCAGGTTGATGTCTATAATAATTACATTAGCGGTACAATTCTCTTTGAACTTCTGCTTTCAGCTTTATTTGTTAAATATAGCAAATATAGTTGAAGCATTATTACCATTTTTCCTGCTATATCCAACACCGCGAGGAAAGGGGCTCTAACGGAAATTAAAATACATATTTCCAAAGGAAATAAAAGAAGAGCGCCCTACAGATTTGTCGTCCCTATTATCAGCCTGACTACCCAATCCCGTAGTTTGAGTTCAGTATGTCCATGTATTCAAAGATGTTATAAAAATCAGCTGTTGTTCTAAAGATTGAACACCAGTGGCGTATTTGGGTTTTGTGGAGCGGGGGGAGTGGGGGTGGCGGTGGGGGTGGTGTTTTGGGGAGCATGTAATCATCTGGTAGTTTTAGAAATCTCAATCAATATTTAGTGTCAAAAAAACACAATTTCTTTCTTACTTTACCCCTTTAGCTGCTTTGAAAGTCAGCAGGACTCTTTGTATTGAAATTCTTGAACTATCTTCTGACAATGGAACAATTCGGGTGTCGATAATATAAAAGTACAAATCTTCAAACCTTGGGTGTAATGATTTTCTGTACAAAGAGCTTCCATGTTAGGCTTGACCCTAATGAGCCAATGTCTGGCATTTCAGTCCATGCCCTACATACAATATTCCCTTTGAGAATTTTAGTTTATTCAAAGAAAAAACCAGATAAAAAGCCAGACTTGGAATTAAATTCTTAATAATTTTACAAAAGTAAAAAATAAATTGTCTAACTAACTGGTAGTAAGATTCGATATATTTTAATATTCTTTTTAAATACACAAATATTAATATTTAAGATAAGCTTAAATGGGTTCACTAGTAAGATATTTATAAGTAACTTAGTTTTTAAGAAAATTAAATGTTTTAAGTAGAAGGACAAATAGCAACATAAGAATTAATTATTGAGGGATAGGTCTGAAAACTGAGGAACAATTTGCACACCAAGGCAAAGATCTGATTCGGAGTTTAATTTCATTAATCTACCGAGAGACTGATTAGTACACCGAGAGAATAAGTACGCCGAGAGAGGCAGATTAGTATGCTGAGAGACAGGCAAGTACACTGAGAGGCAGATGTGTATACTGAGAGATTGATTATTACACTGTGAAACAGATTAGAACATTGAGAGACAGATTAGTACACTGAGAGACTGATAAGTACACTGAGAGACTGATTAGTATACTGAGAGACTGATAAGTACACTGAGAGACTGATTAGTATACTGCGTACCTGATTAGTATACTGCGAGACTGAATAGTATACTGTGAAATTGATTAGCACACTGAGAGACATATTAGTTCACTAAAGGACCGATCAGTATACTTAGAGACAAGAGTTAAATAATGAGGGTCAGATTAGTATACTGAGGGGCAGATTTGTATGAAAGATTTGTATACTGAGTGACTGATTAGTACACCGAGAGACAAATTTGTATTCAGAGAGACTGATTAGTACAGAGAGACTGATTAGTACAGAGAGACTGATAAGTACACTTACTAACAGATTAGTATACTGAGAGACAATTAGTATACTGAGGGGCAGAGTGACAGATGAGTAATCTGAGAGACAGATTACTATACTGAGAAACAGATTAGTACACTGATAGACTGATTAGTATACTTAGGGACAGATTAGTATAATGAGCGTAAGATTTAAACGATATTAAGGAGTACAGTACTATGGTTTTTGTAATTTTTCAACCAATAAGCACAAACTTGTCTAATTAGTGTTGTAATGCAACATAATAGTGTGATGATGAAACTCCCCCTACCCTAAATGAAACACAAATTAGATGAACTTTGGTAACCTGAAAACAGGCCCTATTATCTGCAGAATTATACTAATAGTTATATGCTGGAAAGGTTGTGTGGTGCAAAGGAGATTATATTTTATAGAAAACCGAATTACCACTCTAATCTGAGCTGTCAACTTTTAATGTAAAGATATGATAGAAATCACATAAGAAAAAAGTAATGAAAAATTCCCATGGCCATTACCATATCAAGATAACCTACTTCAAATCAAATCATTATATTGATTTGAATTTTCTTACATGGTATATGAAAAATTACAACAGTTCAATTTAGAATATATATAGAAATTTAATTTGATTATCTGAAATGATACAAGTGAATGAAATGCTTTGAAAGCAAAAACAATGATGAAATGGCTGATGAATCTAAAATGATAGATGGAAGTATACTGGTGATACCACAAAAGTATCAGCACTTGTTCTTGAGATTTAGAAGTAGATTACTTTGCCAAAGCTCCTGAACTATCCTATCTTAAATAGTTCCTAAGATGCCAGCTTTAAGCAGATCTTCACGTCATCATGTATCTCACTTCATATCTTTAAAAAATCTTGAAATGCCAGATTTTAGCAGATATTCAAGTCAACATATGGATGACTTTGCCAAAGCTCCTGAATTATCATATCTTTAAAAAATCTTGAAATGCCAGCTTTTAACAGATATTCAATTCATCATATTGATAACTTCGCCAAAAGCTCTTGCACTATCATATTAAAAATTCTTGGAATGCCAGCTTTTAGCAGATATTCAAGTCAACATATGGATAACTTCGCCAAAAGCTCCTGCACTATCATATCTTTAATAGTTACTGAGATGTCATTTTTAAGCAGATATTGATGTCAACATGTAGATTACTTTGCCAAAAGCTCCTGAACTTTAATAGTTTTTAAGATGCTCTCTTTAAGCAGATATTGATGTCAACTTTGCCAAATCTCCTGAACTATCGTATCTTTAATAGTTCCTGAGATGCCAGCTTTAAGCAGATATTAAAGTCGACATGAAGATTACTTCGCCAAAAGCGCCGGACTCGACCCCATGTTTCAGCAGGAAAACAAGGACTCCCTATTCCATGGAATATTCTGGATATTGAGCGACCAGTTAATGTATGTTCTCTACCATAAAGATTATAAAACTGTCTTACATCAGATAGAAACTGGCTTAAATTGGATTCTGATGGCTGAAAAATATAAAAGAAATAGCACATTAAAGGATTGGACAAACAACGTCAAGAGAAAATCCTGTAAGATTGGACTTTTATCTATAACAATCTCACTTGAACCAGTTGACTTTCTATCAATCCACATATTAGATGTTCTTACTCTCTTTCTTTATTCCTTTCTTTCTGTCTGTCTTTCTTTTTTTCTTTCTTCTTTCTCCCTTTCAATATGTAAGTTTAAGAACTGATGGTTCGCCATTTTTAAGTATCCATTACCAAAACGGCTTGTTACAATCAAACCTATTACCGACTTTGCTTGAAAGGTTCTGAAGACAAGATACACATACAAGCAAATAATTCTTGTCAAAAATTTAATAGTTAAGACAATAGACCACCTCCAAGGCCCCCCTACCCTCACTCTGCCCCTATAGAATCTGGACTATAGCAGACAAATCAGCTGGGAATGAGACTGATAAATTTACCAATGTTTGAACCATACAATAAAGATAAGGATTCAAATCACTGAATTTATGTAAACTGTCCCGCTTGATTCAAACTTTAAATACATGAAACTGTCTATTCTGTCTGAACTCAAAATAAAATGATATAGAGATGATGGATTGTATTTGAAATAACAGATGCATTTTTTAAAAATGATCAAGGTTCAATGCAAACTGTCTATGAAACAGACTCCAATGCATGTGATTATAAGATATTCAATATTGTAAAATGTTGTCTGTGATTGATCGAGGGAGTCTTTTATGTTCTTCTTTTATGGAGTTTGTAAACCTCAGACAGATCAATTCAATATCTATTGGAAACTGTCAGTTATAATACTCCACTCTAGACTAGGTTTCAATGAAACAGATTTACTTGTTAAAAAGTTTGTACAACTGTTAAAGGTAATGTCTTTATCTATGAATTTCTATTATAACAATATTAAAACCTTAACATTAGTGAACAATGTTTTAAACCTGAGTCAGTACCTTCTGTAGAATAGTAACTTAACCACAGTGGCTTAATAATTAATTTTCAATAGCTGAAAAACAGTTCTTCAAATTATCATCAAATTCAAATATCAACATAGGCCTCATAGATGTCAATAACTACAAGCAATCTATTCATCCGATTGCTACCGATTTCAATCTACACTCAGATCTCATCAAGAAATTCATCAAGAACAGATAAAAAATAGCCTCTATCATGGCTAGAAGTCTAATTTGACGAGTCTTTACGAGTCAAGGGCAAGAGACCGTTCATCCCATTGTTACCAATTTCGAACTTGACCGAGATCTCATCAATATATATATGCATACCATGTTTCTTCAAGATCGCATAAAAACTGTTTTCTCTATCATGCCTACAAGCAAAATTGACACATTTTTTATACTGAGTCAAGGGCAATAACCCTGAAACCGTTCATCCAATTGTTATCAATATCGTACTTGACTGAGACCTCATCAATATATACAAAACAAAAATTCTTATGGACATTATCATTCCCAAATCCATGTCAATTTAGCATTAGACATCAAACTGAAGAGTAATTCGTTTTGACATATCATTTTACTAAGCCTGGCCTATCAAACTACTGTGGCTCTAGTTCTTAAACATGCAATGAGGTAGTCTCAACACTGTATGACAACATAAAGTAATAAACTGATAAGAAGGTGGCTTCTGATCCGAGGAACTAATCTAATTACTTCTTAGCGCCATCTTTTTGCAATCACTTTCATCTTTTCCCACTTTTTTATTATGTTTTGTGGTTTCTCTAGAGCTTTAAACTTCACAAAATTTAATTAAAAATGGCAAAAGTCACACATGCATGAGTAAATTTAAAGTGTGAGATAGATTAGCTTCAAGTATTTTCTTAATTTTTGTAACACAGTTTGTTGGCTTGTATGTATTTAAGATCATCTGACAAACTTCCAGAAAAAACCATTGATCAATTGATTGATTAGCATACAAAACGAAGATGGTCACCCTATTTCCTTTCAATCTTCCGTGATCTTCTTTTGATCTGTTGCTTTGTAAAAATTGTTAAAAAAGTAACAGCACGAAACTGTTTGAGATCACATGACAAGCTCATCTGCTTAACAACATAGTAAAATCCAGTGACATAGCAATTTTCCCTTGAGATTCAAAATTAATTCTGAAAACAAGCTTATCATGATTTAAAATCATAATACTAGACCTTAATCGGATTGTTAAGAGCTTTTCTAAAAAAATTTATGTCTATAAGGGACACTGATAGTATACTGATTTGCACCATTCCAATTTTCAATCAGACGTCTGTGGTTCTTGTTATTCCACTTGAACTATGCGTTTTATGATGTCACTGATCACAAAGGTTCTTATATATCATCAGCAACTTCTGTGATAGTGATGTCATAAAATGTTTAATTTTAATGAAAACGTCTGACTGAAAATAGGATTGGTGCAAATTGATGATATCAGTGCATAAAAAGTTTAGAAAACCTCTTTACAATCTCTCTAAACAAGCATCTGACAATCTTACCGTTTCAATGTTTCTCTGCTTAACTTGTACGTCTGCTTTTTCATTATCAAAAAATTCTTCTATGAATTTCTTTAACTTATTACTTCTGTCTTCATCACCATCATCAGCACACATCCAATAACTCTTGAATGATACACTGTAATATACAGGTAGCAAAACTGATTCAAATGTTTTTACTCTAGGTGGTTCAATCAATTTGCCATCCATGATCTGACGTAATTGTTATGATTCTCTTGTTCTTGGTCATTTACTATTTAACAATTTATTAAACCAATCATATGCTCAATAATATATTTCCTTATATGTTATGAATTCTGAGATAATCATTGTTAATCAACCACTTTTGACATTGTTTTGGATTGATTATCATATATGTATGACAATTTTTTATGCAACTGGTTCAAATTTTCCTGGAACACAATTTGAGGAAGAATCTAGACAGATCATTGTGTGCAAGTGTAAAAACCTGCAGCAAAAACTCTTACACCCAGATTGAAATTTCAAACAGACTGATACTAGTAGGTGTTCATCTTGCTGTAACAAAGGTATGTTGAGTTTTCATCAATGAACCCTTGTTATATCAAACTAATGTAGGCGTTACTAATGGTCAACATGGGCAATAACTCTATGTCTATTCATGACTTATTTAATACATTTTCTTCAATTTACGCATAGGTGATCTAGAAATCTGTCATGTGAAAAGTTCACTCACTGATAATGTTTGAGTAAAATGGTTCTTTTACACTTCATCAGTATACGTAAGTCATGTGTGATTCACAAAATAAATAAGATATTCTTATCATTCAGTAACATATAGAAAGGTTTCTGGCAAATAATGAAGCATTGCATTTTAATTTAGATGTAATCACAAAATAATTATGGCTAAGTCCTCTGACAAATACAACTAATTTTTTTTCGTTACCTTCTTAAGGCTTCTGATAATAGATCTAACTGGTAGAGTTCATTTGATTCTTGTCTTGATACTCGTTCAAACAGAAAATCCAATATTTCATCTAATTCATTATCAGTTAAATCACCAGCAGAACGAAAGTGAAATCCTAAATTACTAAATTCTACCATGACACCACTTCTCATTGGTCCTCCAGCTGGAATTCAAAACATACAAATATTTAAATTAGCAGAAGTATAAAAATATATATTTTAATTATTTTGATTTCAAGATTTCTGGTGAAACAGAAAATCGCAAAGTGAAAAAAGTCAGCTCTGTGGTTTATCAATCTTCACAATGACAAGCCATTACGAACTTAAGTCTTATACCTTGACTGCAATAGTAACTTTTCTTGAATAAAGAAATTTGTAAATGCAGAGATTTGATTGGATTGTATGCTACCCAAAATATCATTTTTACTGAATATGAAAATCACATCACATAATCAATGTATCTAAATGCACTGCTATAATCAAGTACGGTAGTCACTCAAGACTTTATGAATATTCTCACCTGAAGATATCATCATCATTTTGCCAACCCCAATAATATGCACATAAATATGTTCCTGGCTTTAAAGTGACAACAGTCAAAATAACCAGTTGAAATGCCTGGGAACTTGTTATTGGATTTGAACTCTATAAAGATAACTGTTTCCCCTAAATTTTCAGATCAAGATCAAGATCAAGATCAAACCAGTATTTCTTCCAATTTAAATGATCATTAGGATTGTGCTGGTAAATCAAGGTATAGTTTCAATTAATTAAAGTGATTTGCTCATGATAGATTACCATGTGTCAAAAACCAAGTTCTTTCAGAAGATCTGAATTATCGTTCATAAATCATTTAATTCTACATTATTAGATGACATTAAAGACCAGGTATAGAAAATAAAATTCTCATAACGTAGGAAGTAATGTATTCCAAAACGATCCTGAACTATGTCCAGATGTAATAAACTGAAAGTAAAAGCTGTAATTTTTGAACTCGCAGTTTTCCATGGACTTTTAAATATTGAGTGATTTGTGATAATAACCTTAGATTTAATGAAACCGAATGCCAGAGGTTTAACTAAAAAGTTATCAAAATTAAATTCGATAAATTATGGCAAATCCCCATAAAACTGGACCAAGTTTTTCTGACCCTACTCCAGCTGACAACTGTGTTTCAGTCTACAACTAATGGTTGACAATTAAAGACAATTTTATAAGCTTAATAATATAATTTGTTGAACTGTCTATGTCTGATAGTGTTTAATCAACTCAACCTTATAAAATCACCTTTATAATTCAATCAATTTCAATTCAAATTTAATATTACAGAAAAATGATAAAATGTAGGTAGGCATGTAATTCAGGAATTGCTTAGGTAAAATAAGAATAGAAAACTCATTATCTTACATAATTACTCTCCTATGCCACTCACAATCAATTTATGTCAACCTTGAGTGTCTCCGATGGAGAAATTCTGGTAATTTTTTTTTTTATCAAATTAATAGATATGAGATATAAAAGCCACATAACTTCAATTATTATGATATTTCATAAGATTAAGGTCCGATTTCCCACACATGAGATAGACACGAATCTTTAATAAAAATCAGAGTCAAATATTTTATCCTATATATTGAATTTAAAATGAATTATCTAAGGGAAAGATACAACTTGGTCGGATAAAATCCTTGGCATTCAACAAACAACCAGGGTTTAATATAAGCAGTATAATGCATCATAGTTTGGAAGAACGCCCACTTTTGAAATGATTAGCCAAAATTAAAATTTCTCAAAACGATCTGTGAATCAAATCAAATACATGTAGTATAATTATCCTGAGAATTTTCATTCAGAAATAAAAACATACTGGAATAAGCAAGGGCTATAACCAAGAGAAACTAACGTCATTTGCAAGATCGATGTGAAGTGTACAACTGGAACATTCACAATTGCTAAGGAACTTGCAAACTTTTGAAATGCGAATCAAAATTCAACTTGATTAGCCAAAAATAAAAATTGGCGCGACAAGTTGCAAGTCTTTTTCAAACTAAATTGAACCCGGCAACAACCGGAGATATTTTTCAACAAATAAAATTTATCTGTTTGTGTTTACCCTTGGTGTTAAGCTAACAACCTAAGTTGAACTCTTGTCAACTTGAATCATTCAATGAATTCCTCCTTCAACTGTGAAGAGCTAGTTCTAGTCAATTGATTAATTCAGAAGTAAAAATATGACAATATGATCTTTACTTCAAGATGTTATGAAAGGCAATATAATTAGAGAAAAAATTTGTTTAAAGTATGATAATCAGTGAATTTCAGAAAAAAAAAAAGCAATTTATTATAACTGCATTGTCTAACTAAAAAAACATAGAAAAATGTCAAATTTCAATTTTTATTTTAGACCAGACCATTTTTTTTGTTTTATTATTACTTGATAAAGACGAAGAACCTTCGTCGAAACGTCGCAAGATATTATATTTAAGTAATTGTTATCCATATAATTGTGTCCAGTTATTTATCCCATGTATAATATTTAACATTTTCTCAATTTTATTCATCAAATTTTCTATTATATTCCTGAAGAAACATTTTTTTTTTTAGAAGCAGGGGTGGCTTAAACCACTGCATCATTCTGTGGATTGCAGAAATCTTACCTGAGCAAAGTTCTTTCTGAGTATTTCTATGTTGGATGAAAAGAAATAAAAGAAATGATCCCTTTAAATCAGTGAATGTGATACTTGTCACAAACTAGTGATAATATGTCTATTGGGAATCGAAATGTTACACGGAATTACCTAGGTAAATAAATAATAGTACTTCCATTCAGTACCAAGGACCATTATCTTTAGTAATTATCTGTCCATCATCACAACTTTATTTGATTAGTATTTCTACTGTCAGTGACTGATCAGTGATTAAAAAGTAAACTCTTGAGATATATAAACCATCTCTAAATTGGAGATAATAACATCTCGATCAATTCTCACACTAACAGCCTATCAGATCAATCTCAATCAAACTATTCCATATAAAAGGATTTTATCAAGACTGATAAAGATTTGTCAACCATAGAATGTTTTAAGGAGCTATAAGAATTACCTGTAAAATGGTCCATGTTATTCTTAACCATTTTTATGGCCACATAATAATACAGATGGTTTATTGATATTTATACTTCTCAGACAAATAAACATACTTAATGGTGGGAATAAATAAATCATATTGATCAACAGAAATTTTATTGTTGAACTTATTGTCTTAATTGATGATAAACAGAATGAGTCATTAGATCAGATTCCTTATAACTAACAGCCATCAAGTAAACAGCAAATTGCTTTTAAATCTTGGAATTACGAGATAGCTTAATAAGATGACACTTAGCTGGAGTTATGGAAATAAACACTAACATTGTGAAAGTGTGTTTCTATTGATCATTAGTATTAGAAGGTGAAAGCTGACACTAGACTGACTCTCGGAAACACAGGCACAGGCATAAGATTAAGGAGGATTCAAACCCATGGCACTTAATCGCCTAGCAGATGACAATACAACAAATAACATATGTTATATGTGATATGAAAGAAAGAAATGCTTGTTAATCCTAGAATTAAACAGGTAATAATTAAAATCATATTAAAATCCTGTCTGCTTTTATATTAAAGATATTAATCAAACACTTTATAAAATAGTTTAACGGTCTGGAATCTTATTTTGAATTTCTTTAAAGGGACAGTCCACCATCCATTTGACCAATTATACCTTAGTCTCAGAAACAGAATTTTCTATAGCAAGCTAATCAGTAATAGTGTTCAAAGTGCACCATGAATTTTGAATTACAGTGAAATTTCTAGTTAGTGACATATTTGAAGGGATTATTCAAGATCAAAATCAACTCTCAAAAATGGTGAATGATCATGGCCTTTAAACCTCATAATTAAAATCTATATCCCTTTAACCGCAAGGATAATGAAATCAACTGAAAAAATTATTTCCTGAAAATCATGTTTTTATGCTTTTACTGCTACAATTTTTTATAATCTCATCACACATTTTCGTGTTTGTAATTAAGACTGGAATATGGAAAATTGGTGACAAAATGTGTAGGAGTCTAAAAGGAGGAAATGTCACAAGTTACTTTGATAATATACCCACAGAGAATATTTCATTAGAACTACCTAAAGACATAACTGATGTGGAAAATTCCTAAAAATCCTTTAGATTTGTTTAGAATTGGTTCAGTTAGTTTTATACTTGCCCAAGGCTCAAACCACAAGAAATTCAATTGAAGCTTCGCTGACCTAAAGTATTGGTTTGGTAAAACATTCATTGCTTCATCGCAAATATCTTATTAAATTATAAATTTGGCTTTAAGAGTATTCAGATACAGATATCCTCAAAATTGATTTTTTTTTTTAATAGATGCAAACCTTTACATGAACAAATATTTGATGGTAAGATCAGTGTTATTTCTAGGAATCATAAGATGGTGAGGCTACAGAATTGAGAATTGTCAAGGTGGTAACGGGGGAAGATGGGTTTGTTAAGCAAACAGTACCAGGCATTTTAAAACTCAACAATAAGAAATTTAAAGAAGGGGGATGGGAAATGTTGTTAAAACCAGGGGCCTTTTTCTCAAAAACGTGACTTAACATATTAAAGTTTTCTAGTCATCTGATTGGTTGAACACTAAAATCGATTTTAAATTTAGTTTTATTATCCAATCAGGTTATTGTATTTTTTAAGATTTTGATTTTATCTTGTAGATAAATTTACAAGAATAAGGCCCAAGTGGTTAAAACTGAAAAGTGTAAATTTTGGATTAGCAGTGTCTCTCATTTGACATCTGTTGTTGTTATGCCAAGTGTAGTCCTATAAAAGACTTCCTGATCATGATAAATTATCTAATTGGTAAAATACCAGAAGGTTTCATTTGTCTTTAAATTGGACAAAAAAGGGAAAATCTACAAAACAAGGACAGCAACTGAAAGATATCAAACCCATTCAAAATCATGAATAACAACATAACACTTATATATTTCAGGACTGGTAGCAATGATATACAGCACTTTTTGAGTGTATGTGTGTTATTTTTACTAATAACTAAAACTTAAAATTCCACATAATCAATAAACTTATCTATTGCTCTGTAAGCTAGGCCAGT